GTATATGTGATATATGTTATTATATATGTTATATGATTTGTATGTATTCATGTTATGTGATAATAAGCTAGTGACTATGTGTGAAATGGAGTAAACTATGTAATTATAAAGTATGTGAATATATGTTTATGAGATAAGCTACGTGACTATGAGCTATGTGAAAATAAGTGATATGATTACATGAGTACAAGATATAAAGCATGTGAAAAGAGATATGTGATTACATGAAAGTATGATATGAGTTATGTGATATGAACAGATGAATATGTGATAAACATAATTATAATGCCCATGTTATATGAAATGAGAGCTAGAGGTATAGTTGGCATGCCAAGAGTTGAGGGTTCTACGTGGTCTTTCGGGACATGTATGTAATCTTTTGGAATATATGTGGTACTTCGGTACACTTATTTGGTCCATTGGAATGTGTATATGATTCTTAAGGAGTGGTCCTTCGGGCATATGTGTTATATGTGGTCTTTCAGGACATTTCTACGCGGTTCTTTGGGATAAATTCTACGTGCCCCTAGTGGGAATTATACGAGATGTGGTGATAACATAGGTGCACAACCTCAATATACTCACATATATTTGGTTCTCACATGTATACATGAGCTAATAAAAAGATAATAGAAATAAACTTGATATGATTATTATGTAATTGTGTACTTGGATATGAGTGTATTGGTTGCACGTATTGCATATGTTATATTATTTATGTTAGAAATTATGTTTGTTTGATATATTGGAATATAAGAGAATATAATGAACTTATATGATATGTTACAAGTAATTACATGAGAAATGTTGTAAACTCCATACGTATATGTATATGTAATAAGGTAGTGGACTATAGGATTATATGAATATAATAATTATGATTGTACTGTGAGAATATACTTTGTGGGTGAACTAGTATAATGGAATTATATTATTAAATGAGAATAAAGATAAAATAAATAGTATAAAATAAGAAACATGTACAAAAATAAGTATAAGAATAGATGAGATAAGTTGTATAGGAAGCTCTATATATATTTCAAAGAAATTGTTATCTAAAAACTTGTTAAATTCTTAGTTAAAATGAAATATAGTACAAGGATTTAGGAAATGAAGTTATATGAGCATATCATAGGAATCAATTATGATAAATTATGAAAATATATGTTTATGTAACAAATTATATGAAAAATGAACTAATAGAATATAAGGAATTAGTATACAAGAATATGATATAGAATATGTAACAATAATCTATGGGTTATATAATAAATAGGAGTTTATGGAAATAAGAGATAAGATATGTGACTCTGGAATAGAAATTATATGATCAAGAGTTATATAAAGGAAATGGTTTAAATGATAAAATGAGAATGTGATATAAGCTGAGTGGGGTAGATATAAATGATTAGATGAATCTGAAATAGTATACAATTCTATATGACATAATGATATATGTGTATGTATATATATTTATTACATGAAAATGTGCATGAGGATGTATGATATGATGACATAAATCATGCATTCATTGTTAGGAGTTATAATTTACCTTATATATTTTATACGCCTCACTAAATCATAGACTTAGCGTGTGAGTGTTTCACATGTAGGTTCTGGAAAGTGAGAAGAGAAGTGAAGAGGAGCAAGACAAGTCAGATTCTCCTTTCCACATATCAGATCAGAAATGTAGTTGAATATATGTATTTTGTTATATAGAGTATAGTTGGCATGTAGTTTAAAGATTTAAATTGTATAAGCTCTGATATGTTTTGTAAAACCAATTGATTTTAAATAAATGAAAATTAATCATTTTCTTGAATTGTGAATTTAACTTTTAGTCATTTTGTAAAGAAAAATGTTTGAAAGTCAATGTGACACCTCAGACTCGGATCTGGGTCAGATACGGGTTGAGAGTGTTACATTTGGGTTTTTAAACTCTATGGTTATGTTGTACGTATTTTGGAGGACTCCTATATTTTGTAAACGTTGGATTTGATTTCTGTTGCAATTGTGATTTATTCTGATGTTAACAATTGTTTTCAAAGAAATTTTTGGGTTGACCATTTTCATGGTTCCGTGTGACATCGTAATCCATAGATCTTTGGGTCGGACTGGGTTAGAGTGTTAGAAGTTGAGGCAAAAATTTTATTAAGAGTTGGTCTGTAATATTTTGATTGTAAATATTTGTTTTGGGAGCTCCCCAGTATAAAGTTTTAAATTATATTATTTTATAGATATTTTTATTTGTGTAAATGGTCATTTATACTACAAGAAAAGAGTAAGGTGTTGGTCAGCCATTCCGGTTGTTCCTGTGGCATCCTACATCAGTCGACTGTGTGTCGTAACTGGTGTAAGTTGTTACAAATAGCATGCGTTAACCGTTAGTCATCTGACGGGTTTCATCCATCATGGACTTTTTTAACCAACAACTGAAACCTTAAGGGCTAAAATGCTCCAAATAAAAATAGGGGTTGATCATTTAAACAAACTTTGGACGCTAATTTTACCATTATACATTAATTTAGTTATTGCATGTATTATTACATTCATAATGTCTCACAACTTAAATAAATTAAGAAGACATAGCATTGGCAAAACTAGTGGCGCAGCTGACCCTGACCCTCTAGTTATTTTAAGACGAAAAAAAAGGTTTTCATTTGAATAAGCGGAAATAGATAGGTAAATGGTGGGGTTTAGCTTTCTTATTGTGGCATGCCCAATTTCAAACCCCTTATAAATTTGTGGTTTATTAATACAGTATGTAATGAAGTGATTGTCATGTGTAAGTAAACAACATTTGTGGTTGCGAGAGCCTCCGACCAGACATCCATACCCCACGTCATAACAAGTCACCTAACAAGTGATAGCAGGCTGCACTCAGTGTTTCCCCAAACTTAATTAATTAGTTTAATGGGATATGATGCTGATATATAATAAGCATGCATCACCATTAAACTCGTCAATTTTAACTCAAAAATTCAACGTCTTTATCGATTGTCAGCCATCCACTGTTAGGGTTGGATGACCAATGGGATTCCATAGAGCTATTTGGAAATAAAGTCAATTTATTTATTTTTATTTTTGGATTTCTTATTATTAATTTGTTTTTAGTTAAGCAAACAGGCATTCTGCTCTAAACACAATACCTAATTGACACACACGTGTATATATATATATATATATAATGCATGGCTACCGGCAAAGGGATGGTATCATTAAAATAATGATCTCTAAAGCTTAGATTACCCAAAAAATTATCATGGAATCTTGACATGCAAGCTATATATATTTAAGAATTTCGTGTTTATTTACAGTGCATTAATCGTATCATTACATTAAAAATAAAAGTTGTTTATCATCAAGTAAACATCGTTTTTATGAGTATTATAGAATTGCTAATTATATATGTGATCGTATTTCTGAACTCAATTATTAGTTGTCATAAGTTAAATAATATTTTTATGTAATCATAATTTATTTCGATTATGTGAGGATATTATTTTTGACGATTCAATCATATTCACACCTAAAATGATTGGTGGTGATTTTATATTTCACGGCCTTAAAATTGTTGTGACAATATAATGATAATTTTAATTCTTCAAACTTATATGTTTTATCAAATTAATTTAATAAATATATAATATTTAGAAATCTTATCAATTTAATCTAACATAAAATCCCAAAATTTCTCTCCCGAATCCGTAATCGCAACTTGTTTACTCAGCCGTCGTGGCCGCCTCTGCATACATAGTATAAGATATGAAGGTAAACCTGTATTTATAATCGATGTGCTGGAAGAAGACGAGGTGGGATTGTTTTTGATTTCCTGTGTGTTCATTATTCTATTTAATTTGTATATGAAGTGTGATGTATTATGAACTTAAAGCAAAATATTGCAGGAGGATATAGTTTGGAGTTGTTACTGGGACTCTGGTCGTCTGTTTGATTACAGACAAAAATCTGATGCAATTCCTCCTGAGCTGATGTTCAGTCGATGTAATTTCCTTTTCAAAATTTGGAAATTGCCCTAGTATCAATGGTTAGTAGAGTACAGTGAACATGAATTTCCCTTTGGAAACTGAGTTTTTTTTTTCTTGATCGTCTTTGATTCCAAAATGGGAATAAAAAGTGAGATATATATTCGATTAGTCTAGATTAAATACAAAGTAATATTTTTTAAAAGACTTTCAATAGTTTTCTAATAAAAATTATACACTTTTATAGATGTGGTGTTTTAATCCGTAACCTCAATTGAGATATTAAATATTGGTAACAATGACTAAGTTGGGAAATAGTTGTTGAAAGAATCGAAAGATCAGAGTTTGGGATGGGTTTTATGTTGGATCAAATAGATATTTTTTTAAATATCGGAGATTTATTAAATTATTTCAAATTATGATAATTTGATAAATATGTAAATTTTGAGAACTAAAATTGTCATTATATTATGTTATAACAATATTTTCGTAAAATCAACAGTCGAATCTAACGAAGAATAACCAAAACATAAATAAATATTATGTATGATTTAAAAAAATAATAAACGCAAACTAAAAAAGAAAAAGATAATGGGCCAGATAAATGGTTTGCCCAAAATTAATTATTCTTTTAATTTTTTTAATTTTTTTAAAACACGCACGCACCGGACTCACATGGCCAAAATTCTCCCAACTCCCAAGGGAGTTGCACCTGAGATGAGTTGAAAACATCCAAGGACATTAGCAAGGGAAGAGGGTGAAAATTCTCCGATCTCTTCGAATCTTGATTTCTCTAAACAAAATTTCATGCTACGTGTGGTAAGAGATCATTTTTCTTTATATTTTAGTATATAAGTTAACAAAAAATAATTTAATATTTCAATCAATCATATAAATTTAACTTCAGCAAAAAATATAGATACATTATTTATTTTAAATATGTTTTATTTGTCACTATAACTTGTAACCGTTATTTCTAATTTGAAGTTTAAATTATTTCTAATGTATTAAATTATTTTAAAACTCAAAATAATTAAAATTTTCCTTGTGCGTTATATAAAACTCATGCGATGGTAAAAAAGAAAAGTTGGTTTTTATTGTGTGTCTGTAAGATATATGCGTTACTATTTGATTAAGAAATTCTGAACAAATATTATCTTATAATCATTTTAGACTATATAAAAATAATAATATTAATGTTTAAAAATTAATATTATTTGTAATCCTTCCTTTCCGGCCACTGTTCATTGCATTAGCCAGCCATGGTTGTCGTAGAAACAATGGCGAGAGTTGCACTAGAGTTAACACCTTGCTTGCTTACCCTAAATAATTCCTTCAAAAGGCATCTGCTCTGCATTTTCATACATGATTTCATCCAGAGGCATCAAACAAAATCTGGGATTCAAGTCCCCAATTTATGAGTGGTGATATCCTATCTTTTCAAACATCATGCACATTCCAGTAACTAATTTGGACTACGATATAACTTACACATTAAAATTAATTACATAATTATTTTTATAAACAATTATCAAAATTATATATGAATGATTGACAACCTTTTGTGAGTTTTCTAGCTTGATAACTGCATAAAACACTTTTGTTGGAGTAAGTGGATTCATAATAAGCCTATACTCAAGACTGACCTACGAAAATGAGAGGGGTCGGTCCACGTTTACATTATGTTGTTTTTGTCAATGGCAGAATATAATTCTGAACTCACAGAAGGCCAAGTGTTTTCAGCTGATGGACATGTTCAGGCGGGAGAGGAGTAGGAGACCAATCAGATCCAATCATTTCACCATCCACATCCTCAACAACATGTTCCTGTTACAGCATGCATGAAACTGAATAACGTTAAACCGTACAGCTATTCAAAGGAAGTCCATGTTCCAAAAGAAACAAAGAGTGATGCCCCATACTCAAACGACAGTTTGGGAGCTAATATGTTGAGATTTGTTTGAATGGAGAACATCATCCTAGCAGAATCTAGTTTATCTAAGTTTTGCAACACGAACAGTACATAAGCAACCACCACAGGTGGACCTATAAGAATTGTTGGCATATTGGACATGAAATGGGGGAACAAGCAAATGTAGAAAGACACCTGAATTATATGAGATTCCTAGCCAGGTGCATAGACATGTAATATACCATCTATCAGCACAATTAACATGCTTATTTTAAACACTGAATTTCCTGGAAGTACTTAAATAAAACCTAAGTTAAAGTTTCTCCCATCTAACATAGAAGCTGATAAGGTAAAGGGAAAAAATTTAACCATTAAAGCAAACAGGGACAAGGTGGTAATTTTCAGTCCTTTTCATTCCATGTCATATAGAGGTGGCTTACTCATCTAAAAGCTAGCACCTAGAAATTAACTTCCTCAACTAGTTCGGTTGGACCTAGTCGACCTTGAAAAATTGTACTTAATGGCACAGCTACATGAACAAAAACTGAAAAAATTGTCAACATTCTTTTTGCCAGTATGTGATAGTTCCGCTGCCAAATCCTTTGCCCAACCATTGTAGCGACCAAAACACTGTAAAATATTTCAATCACAGTAAATAATCCGAGCACAATCAATGCCATAATGAACAACAATGGCAGCCCTGCTTCACCAGCACCTCCTAGGCAACCACATTCAGTAGCAGCACTAGCACAGCTTTCAAAGCATGTAGTACAGTCAGTCCAGATACAAAGAGTACCAGGTAAGTGGCAGTCAGCACACATTCTGCACAAGTTGACGAACAAACAAATTAATAATTTGATTAGTATGGCCCAATAGGCCAATACTCCCATAGATTAATGAATGAATGCTGTTGATGTGCTTCATCCCCATGATTTGCACCTCTTCAATAGCTTAATATATCAAATATTTAAGAAGCAACTACAGTCTACAGTCCATCAAATGTTGAAGCTACTTACAGACGATATGAAGTTATACGATTTTCCAAGTAACACGTTGTGTATTTCATCCCCAGCATTAGCACCACTTAAATAGTTTAGTATATCAAAGCAAATAAGAAGTGAAAACAACTGTTCTAAAATAAATCAGATGGGAGTATGCATCCGTACTGAAAACTTATCCAGGTCATTTTATGTTATATTCCAATTCCCCAGTAGCACCAGCCTAGTTTCAGCAGAAATGACAATGGCACCCTATAACACAAGGATTAACTGATAAGAGGAGCACTGGGAATGGAAGGAGAAGGAGAGGCGGAAGGTTTAAAATGAAGTAAAATCAATAGAATGAGCAGATATGAAGCCAATAGATTCTGCAAACTCGAAGTGCAACACAGGAGAGACTCTTCTAAACTATGCAGACGGTTCATGATAAACAAATAGCACTGGTAAAAGGAAAAGGAAGTCAACCCAAAGATGCAAAAATGTGACAAGTGCAGATGCATCAGATAGACAGTAATAGCTACAGAACATTCAAAGACATCATCAGCTAGAGATATCCTTTGGAGCTCCAAGCCTCCAACAGAACATGTATACAGAAGCACAATAAATATTGAGTATAGTTAGAGAATGTTAATAAATATATATACAGATATAAAATCATGTGTGAGTTGAAGCGGAGAAAACTTATGTTGCTTTGACTCTTCACTTTCCTTGGAGTAACTGTGTCTGAAACATATGTAGACATGGGTTTGATGATATGAACCTTCAAGGATCATCGAAGCACATGAAATAATTTCTAAAAATACCCATGTAGAATGGGTAATTATATCTGACACTAACACCAGAGTCCAAGTAACATAGGAGTAAACAGCTATTTGCTAACTTCAGAAATATTGCTAATATGCCCTTTTGTTATGAATTCATGGACATATAAACGGTACATGTCATATCAGAAAATAAAAAATAGGTCAAAGGGGAAGGGGGTGTTTAAAAAGTCTTGATGCCTCCATATACACGAAGATTGACAATTTGAGTGTACATTTCATTTCAGATTGAAGAAAGATCAGCAGTTCCTATGTAATGAGCATGTAAATTGCACAATGCACGGAATTCAGTAAAAAGATGGGGAGTGGTACAAAACATACAAAAAGTCTGGCACACTGTGACGATTATGAAGAATTAGATGCAAAATGTCACCTACTTTTCACATATTTGTGCATGTTTTAGGTTAGCGTATGCACACAAGCGTAGATGGAAATATATGGAGGTACAACAATAGAGATAAACATAAATGTACTCGCTATTAAAATTTCAGGGGGCGGGGGAGAAAGAGAAGATGAAGACGACAAATCAGTGCAACAGACCTGTACAAGTAATAAACCCATTCTACTCATCAATTCGTAAAGGACAAAGTTTTAGCAGAGTAATGATGAATACTAAAATCAAAATGACAGTAACATTCAATATGCATCGTAGTTTGCAAGTACTAGTAGATTTATACCCAGGCTGACAGCAACAGAGGCATAATTCTCGACAAGGCTGAGCCAAATCATCACGCACTTGCCGATCATAGCATGTGATAAAGCACCCTGATAGCCCCAGCAAGGCAAAAGATAGTAATGCTCCTGTATAAAACAAACATTTTGTTAACAAACAACAAATGTGACAGTATCCAAGTGGGATAATGAATATTTTGCACAAGCAAAAAAATACAAAAAAAAACCAGATACATAAAAGTTTTCTTCAAGCAATCTAGTCAATTTATCCATCGATGTTTGGTAAAATTCAAAGAAACAAATACAGAGTAAATTTGGGAAATAACTTGTGTAACATGAAAGACAATGAAAACAACATGCACGGGACTACAGTGATTTTTCCATGTATGCACTGAACTCAAAGTTTTCAGCACTATACATCATGACTACAGTGATTTAACATGGTGTTGAGTACCAATATCAAGATGGAGAAAATTAATCAGTTAAAATTTTAATCGGTTACGACATAAAACCAATCTATATAATATAAGTTGTGAATTTTAAAGTTGAATTATACTTTCATCTATAAGGTTTGATTAAAATAACATGGAGTTAGTTCAAATCTTTGATTAATGTAGTGAGGTGGTGTCAAAACCAGTTAATCTTTGTCCTTGGTTAGACAATTTAACAAAAAAAGGAAACGTTATAGGTCAAGTATTTAGACCAAAGAAATTTTATAAGTTTATGTCTCAACCAAAGAAGAACCTTTATAGATTGAGCAAGATGGAAAGCTTTATAGGTTGTGGTTTCTAACCAAGAAAAAGTATGTTCAGTGTTTTCAATCAATGAACTCTTTATACGTGAATTTTTTAACCAAGGAAAAGCTTCATAGGTTAAACATTTATTATTTTTAAGACACGTAATCAAAATGTCACTTCAGATTCTTGAGATTTTACCACATATGCAATAGAAACTAAGCTCATTATCAAAACCCCAAGCAAGACGGAGACATGACTTCTGGTAACCATCAATTAGATAAACCAAATATGCAAGTGAAGCAATGACCTGAACACAATTAACAAAAGAACCAAGTATCATAAATAAGCAAAATATTTACAATAGATGAATAACAACAGGAGACTATCAAGAACAGACTACATACTAGTTGAACCGCCATAAATATGGATAAAATGTCTCTAGTCACAAAAAAACAAAATTTCAAAGTCCGCCATTTCCTATCAGCAGCAACATGAACTCTCAAATGATAAGGAGCTTTACAAGTTGTGCAATGAGCAAATGCAAACCCTTCCTGCCAAAAAAAAAATGACATTACGAGATATAGTAGCTAGAAAAAGGAGACCAATGTGATGACGATATATAGCCTAAACAAAAGTCATATTATTTGTGAAAATTTTGAACTTTCTCTAATTCTTTTTCATATCACTGTTCATTGCTAAGACTAGAGTTATGCTTGTGATTTTGTGATTACGGTGAAACTTTTTAAGTGGACTTTAAGGTTCCGAGGTTTTTATATTTTTTATTAACCAATTTTCCACTTAAAATGTGTCTTGGATTATTAGCGATTTGAAATTTTTAGTGGACTCTTAAAGTTGCATAAAATTTTATGACTTGTTTTATCATGCTTAAGTCTAATTGAATATTTGTTCCAACTCAAATAGATTTGTTCAACTCAACTCGAATTTTCTTTTTATATGATTCATCAATACAATTTCAAATCAAGTTTGGTTGACAAAATAAGACTTGTTAAAACAACTAACTCCAGATTTTTTGTAGTCAATTCGACTCAACCACATACTCACCCCTAGATGAAAGCACACATAGATAAACTAAAAATGATATCTAATTCCTATCTGATAGCTTATCATCATCCTATTCAAGTGTGGTCACAGGCATGCATAACCAGCCAATGTTGTTGAGGGCATAAGGTGCACTCCAGGCACTAGAACCCTTATATTGCCTAAGATGCAAAAACGTGATTGCCTAAGTGAAGTAAGGCACAAATGTATGCATGCTTTTTCATATGTGTCCCTCTATGCATGTGTATAAAATAGGCTTCAGATATATAATTATGATTAAAAAAACTCTATAAAATGGCCAGCTTATCTTTATAAACATGCACAATTCCCTTTTACTCTTGTTGGCCAATATGCATGATTTCCTTATGCACAATTCTCTTTTACTTTTTTTGAAGATGAACACACAATAAAGTCGCAAGTGTATTAATATATGGATAAATTTAAATTTAATACATCTTGCATCCAGTCAAATATAATATCAGAGTAATACATCCATATCTTTATTTGGAAATAAATCTTGTTTCGATAGTTAAGACAAACCTTCTCCACTTATAAGAGACTATGTATTTAGATTGCTAACTCTAACAATTCCCTACGAGAAGCCTAAGAAAAATGAGTTTTGATCAATAAAGGATATGAAAAGTGGGAGTCAGGTTCGTTCACTAAATATCTCGAAAACAAACTCTTCCACTCTTCAAGGTAAAAGACTATGACTATAACCTTTTGAAATTAACCCCAACAACCCTCTCTTTGCGCCAAGTCCGTTTTGACCTCTTCAAAAAGAAAAATTACCCTTTAAAACTAAACATATCAAAGCAAAGGCCTCAATTTAATATACGAAAACATTAGCATCACCCTCTTTTGTTTTTGAAAAAATAGAAATCATGGGTCGTGTTAAACTTCAGATCAAAAGGATAGAGAACGATACGAATCGACAAGTCACCTTCTCCAAGCGTAGGAATGGACTGATCAAGAAAGCTTATGAGCTTTCCATCCTTTGCGACATCGAAATTGCTCTCATCATGTTCTCGCCATCTGGTCGTGTCAGCCATTTTTCAGGCAAGAAAAGGTATGCAGTTGAATCACAGTTGTCGTGTTCGTGTTCATGTTTGTAATTTTGTTTTACCGTCTCCTTGTAGAATCGAAGATGTGCTTAGTCGATACATAAATATGCCGGATCGAGATCGAGGAAGGTATGCTATGTTGCGAAAGACGGCTATCGGATAAAGCAAAAATTGCAACTGATAATTTGAGAAAATAAAAATGAAGATAAAAGAGACACAAAATTTACGTGGAAAACCCCTAAAATATTTAGGGTAAAAACCACGGGCAACGGTAGAAGAATTTCACTATGAGAAAATAGGAATTACAACCTCTCTCGATCTACCAAGGAGAAAACAATGATAATTCTCTCTAGATAAAAAGGAGAAAACAACTCTCAATAAACTCTCTAAAATCTCTCCAGTATTGGAAGAAAGCTAGAATGCTTTGGGATGGTTTTGAAGCTAAATAAGCTAGGGTATTTATAGTTGAATCATAAGGACTAATTTGTAAATACCCTAAAGTCTAGGGGGCTAAAAGTGAAATTTTACCCTTGCAAATTTTTCCACAATTGCTGGCTACTTTTTTGGTGCCATTAATTGTGCACTTTCGGTGCCCCCAAGTTTGACAATTAACTTGAACTTTCAACAATCTCCCACTTGAAGATTTGATTGGAACAATCATATCTTCACACCATTCTTTCTACCTTATATCATCATGTTGCTTACGTTTCTGACAGGCCACAAGAGGATCGACACCAAGTAAATTTATCAACGTTAATCGCCTTTGTCATGAAATCTGCTATATTGTCTTTGGTATGGATCTTCTGGATATCTACTGTTCCTTCTTCCACCTTTTCACGAATGAAGTGGTACTGAACTCGTATGTGTTTTGTCCTTGAATGAAATGTTGGATTCCTTGCTAGATGCAAGGCGCTTTGAACTGTCACAGAAAAGAGAAACATGCTCTTGATTGTGCCCAAGCTCCTCCAATAACATCTTCAACCAAATTGCTTCTTTACTGGCTTGTGTAGCTGCTACATATTCTACTTCTGTTGTTGACGTAGCCACAACTGACTGCAATTTTGAAACCCAGCTTACAGCTCCACTAGCAATTTTGAACACATATCCTGTAGTAGATTTGCTTTTATCCAAATCCCCTGCATAGTCAGAATCTACATACCCATTGATTAGTAAGTTTGATCCTCCGTAATATAATGCAACATTTGAGGTCCCTTTGATGTATCTCAGGATCCTCTTTACTGTATTCCAATGCTCTTTGCCTGGATTCGCCATGTACCGACTAACCACTCCCACTGCTTGTGCAATGTCTGGTCTTGTGCATATCATAGCGAACATTAAACTTCCCACTGCTGATGCATACGGTACTCGAGACATCTTCATCCTCTCTTCTTCACTGCTAGGACTCATACTGGAGGATAATTTGAAGTTAATAGGAAGAGGGGTAGAAATTGGCTTATAATCTTGCATGTTGAATCGTGACAAGATCTTCTTCAAGTAATTCTTTTGTGAAAGCCAAATCTTCCTATTACTTCTGTCTCGGTGAATTTGCATCCCTAGAATCTTGTTTTCTGATCCCAAGTCCTTCATTTCAAATTCCCTAGCCAATTGTGCCTTTAATTCTTCAATATGATCTTTGTTGGGTCCTGCAACCAACATGTCATCCACATACAACAGCAATATAACAAAATCGTTATCATTCAGACCTCTTGAAATAAGCACAAGGGTCTGCATTAAGTCTGTTGTATCCAAGGCACATAATGAAGGAATCAAATCTCTTATACCAACACCTCGGTGCCTGCTTTAGACCGTACAGAGATTTGTTCAACCTGCAAACCAAGTTCTTCTTTTCTTTTTCTTCAAAACCTTCAGGCTGGAGCATATAAATCTCTTCTTCAAGATTTCCATGAAGAAAATCTGTTTTAACATCTAGCTGCTCTAGATGTAAGTTCAATGTAGCACACATTGCCAAGAGAACTCGAACTGTTGTTAGTCGAACCACATGAGAAAAAATTTCATTGAAATCAATACCTTCTTTTTGAGCATATCCTTTGACCACCAGTCTTGCACGGTACCTCTCCACTTGATCGTCAATATTTCGCTTGATTTTGAAGACCCATTTGTTACCTATTGGCTTCCTTCCTTGTGGTAGTGGCACAAGGTCCCATGCATTATTTTTATGAAGGGCTTCGATTTCTTCTTGCATCGCCATCATCCATAATGAAGCATCTGAGCTGTTTATTGCCTCCTGGTATGTTGATGGCTCACCGTCCTCTGTTAAAAGGCAATATGCAATATTACCTTCTATAACATAATCTGAGTGCCAATTGGGACGTCTTCTCACACGATCTGATTGACGAGTTATTGGAGCTTCAGAACTCTCTAGTTCTTGTTCATCATGAGCTGGTTCTGCTTCAGAAGAATCTCCTTGTTCAACCTCCTTTTCCATATGTATATGAGTAGTCTCTGACTTTTCAGTGCTAGCATCGTCTTCTTTTCTTTGTAGCTTATCTTCTACAAATATAACATCCCTGCTAATGATCACTTTGCGGGTAGTGGGATCCCACAAGCGATACCCCTTTACTCCATCAGCATACCCCAAGAATTTGCATTTCCTGGATTTTGGATCCAACTTCGAAATTTCTTGGGAGTTGTACATCACGTACACAATACTTCCAAATAGATGGAGGTTTGAATAATCAACTGGTTTACCAGTCCACATCTCCATTGGTGTCTTCAGCTCTATTGCAGTTGATGGAGCTCGATTCACCAAATAACAGGCGGTATTGACTGCTTCTGCCCAGAATGATTTTTCTAGGCATGCATCCCTCAACATTGCTCGTGTTCTTTCTAACAAGGTTCTGTTCATCCGCTCTGCCACTCCATTTTGTTGAGGAGTGTTCGCCACTGTGAACTGTCTTTTGATGCCTTCTCTCTTGCAAAAGTCATCAAATTCTTCGCTTGTGTATTCTCCTCCATTATCTGTTCTGAAACACTTGATCTTATTTCTAGAATCAAGTTCCACCCGCGCTTTGAAGTTTTTGAAAGTTGCAAACACATCTGACTTCTTCTTAATAGGGTACACCCAACATCTCCTGGAGTAGTCATCAATAAATGAGACAAAGTATTTTGCTCCGCCTAGGGATGTGACCGGTGCTTGCCATACGTCAGAGTGAACCAATTCTAGAACACTTTTGCCTCTAGAATTTGATGTGTTGAATTTCAACCGGTGTTGCTTACTTGTTATACAATGCTCACACAAAGGAAGTGATACCTTTGTTAAGCTGGGAAGTAGCTTCTGCTCCACAAGGACTTTCATTCCTTGTTCTGACATGTGTCCAAGTTTCTTATGCCATAGCATTGCAGAATCAGAACTACATGAGGCAACAGAGGCTTATGCTTCTAGCAAAGTCTCTCCCTTCAGCATGTACAAGTTTGCAGCTATCTTTTCGCCTTTCAGCACCACAAGCGCTCCACGGAACACCTTCATGATTCCTTTCTATGTTTCAATCTTGCTTTCATTATTATCCAACAATCCGTAGGATAATAAATTTTTCTTCAGACCTTTCACGTGCCGCACATCTCGAACAACTTTAATTGTTCCATCATACATCTTTAATTTGATGGTTCCCACGCCAACGATCTCTAAGGCATGATCATTGCAACTATACACAGATCCTCCTGAGACAGATTCATAATGATGAAACCATTCTCTTCTTGAGGTCATGTGATATGTTGCTCAAGAATCAATGAGCCATATATCTGCAAAATGTTTTCTGCCTTCCACGGTGGTTGACGCTTCACAACATAGAGCATCTCCATCATCTGAAGTGTTTGCGGTATTGCCTTGTGGATTGGAGTTTTTATTTAGACTCCAACAATCCTTCTTCAAGTGACCCTTATTTCCACAGTGGTAGCACTTTAAATTCTTCTTGCTCCTCGACTTCGATCTACCATGTTTATGACTGCTGCTTTGGCCACGTTCTGTTGATCTCCCTCTCATCGTTGTCAACGCTTCTGCTTGTTGCAGATTTACTTGTATGTCTTCCTTGTTCTTGCGCCAATTTTCTTCTTGTAGAACAGCAGCTGCAACGTCATCGAAGACTAGACTAGTGACATTATTTTTTGTCAAGTTGATGATGAGTTGATCATACGAATCCGGTAGACTTTGAAGTAGAAGTTCAGCACGTTCTTGTTCTCCTATTTTACAGCTTAAGGATGTAAGCTGAGAAAATAAGGTGTTCAGTGTATTTAAGTGCTCCGTCACTGAAGTAGATTCTGGCATACGGAGAGTGTACAATTTCCTCTTAAGGAAAATTTTATTGTGCAACGATGTGGCCTCGTACAGTTTTGTGAGATGATCCCATATCTCCTTAGCTGTCTTCTTCTCCTCGATGCTTGACAATACTTCATCTGCTAATGCTAGATGAAAGTT